AGTTTAATGATTTTTTTCTTTTAAAATAAACGTCAGTTAGGTCAGAAAACATCTTCTTATCTCAATAAGAGGCAAAGGCAACCGGAAATAGCTCGAGTAGTAGCAAATGTCAATCAGTTAACAAGATATTCATTCTTTTGAGGGAGTGCCTTTGGAAGTAATAAAATGCAAAGTACTTTTAAATCACGATTCGTGTGATCAGAAAATTCCTTCTGAGCACTAAGCCAATCGCTTGTTTGAGAGGGAGGAAGGGTTAAAGATGAGAAGAGAGAAAGAAAGAAGGAAAAAGGTAACAGGTGAAGCTAGTACTCTCAGTTTTTCAGGAAACGTATGGTGTTTTTTCTAGCTTAATATTTTTATTTATTAAATTCTAGTTTTTCGAATATTGTATCTAAATCTAATATTCTTTTAAAAAAATCCTTAACAACGCTATCTTATTATCAAAATTTTGCCAGAATCTGCCCCTTGTATTTATAATTCCAAACGTCGCGATTGCGGTAACTTACCCGTAACAATTCCTAGACATCGTGCTGTACCATTTCTGGAGGTGATATGTTTTCTAATTACCACCAGTGCATTTTTTCAGCATTCAGTTGCTTTCATCGTTGCTAAATTCCGGACCACGCTATTATTCTGCCGGGCACTGTAATCCGTCGCTGCCACTGAGCAGCTACTATATCGCAGGATTCGCTGGTGCACCGGAGCTTGCTTTATCATCGACGTCATCATCGTCACAGCTTCCGACACCGATTGAAGAAACTTATTCTTGGGGCAGTGCCGGTGAAGAGCACTCAAACAGCAACACTCCTAATGTTAGTTTGCTGATTTTTGCTAAAACACATATTATCGCAATAATATACCGCGGCTACTTAGAAAACAAACGGCGTGATTATTCTATATTGGTGATGTTACTGGGATGCTCCCATGGATGTAGAAGTGCCAGTCCCTCTGGTCCTAAACTTCATGTTAGCAGCTGTTGCACGACGGCAGTGATTGGCTGTTTTGATAAAATTTACACCACTTACCTTGGAAATCATATTTTTTAATATAATTTTATATTCTATGTATGTATTATTGTTAACAAGTTTGCTACTAGTTTAGGCTGAAAATTAGTTTTTTTGCGGAAAATTTTAATTTTTTTGCAGTTATTAAAAGTCCAGGAGTCATACATTTTTAAAAAATAGACTGATTTTTTATCCAGAAAATACATCTGTCTTTGTCATGGGCACGTAATCTTCACTGCATTCTGCCAAACTTTTAACTTTAATGCCCAAAACTGTTCCAAACTATTTCTCCTGAAACCACATTACATTTTTCAATTTCCCTGTAAACACATTTCTGGAATTTTTCTTGTTTTTCCATTTTTTTTGTTAAATATTCGGACGGCGCAGCTGTTTGCTGTTCTCTTCTGCTTGTTGTTCAAAGCCAAATGGAAATTTTGTATATCCAGCTGGAAAAAGGCACTGTTGTGTTCTCATTA